ACATAGGCGCAATAAACTGTCTCTTTATCGCCGTGACAGATACGTGTAGTTTTGACAGTTCGGTATTCCAAAAGTATGGAAACTGCAAACGAATAGACGTCGCAGTTCTCGAAAAAATAATACGGAACAAATTGGAATTTGATCTCACTGTAGTTGGTTAAAATATGGCGTCGACACCATCCCAACGGTGGATCGTAACGTTACTTTTAGACATCAATGGATGACGGCTTAAAGTCATTTTACTACACGAACACGATTCGAGTTCGTTAACGGTCAGTGGGAATAATAGAGATCCGCTTTGTAGGCGAATATGATAAAAAAATTCACCTAGCTGTACAACGACGCATTGCGGATTAAACGACTTTAACTTGAAATAGAAATCCTCAAAGGTGAGAGACACGCGGAACACAGTCAGGACGGAATTGAATACGATTTGCCATCTGCCGTTCTCGTCGTACAATGGTAATAGTTTCATCCACAATTTGGCGCATTCCCGGTCGGAACAAAAAACGATGTGCGTACTGTAAACCAAATTCATTCGTTTTCCGGCCGAGGAAATGTTTCCAATATTCGTATTGGCCAAGATGCGTTCGTGGTTTTGAGGTATAAACATGGTCGAGTTGCGTTTATTGTTCTGAGACGAGCATCGTTTTACTCGATTAAACGGCGCTCTCATAAAGTAGGATTTTTCGAATAATGTTTGCATGCCCATCGGCGTCGTCCCATCCTTACCGCTTTGTTTTCTAAACGTACCCGCGCCAGTTACTTTAATAGAGTCCAAAATATTTTTCGATATCTCTCTTTGCGATTTCGTTTGAATCTGATTGGTCTTTGAAATGAGAAAAGCCATGTTGCCGGTACGGATGATTGTGCGAAAATCCTTCACCTGAGTTAATCCCAATTTTTCAATCCGAAACCGTAACTGCGAAAACCAAAGTTTAAGCAAGTACGGATATGTGATGACAAACTTGTTGTCCATTTCATCGATGTTTAGATTCTCGAGCCGAACAGCATTGAAGAATTCCGTCCATTTTTCCGCATTATTCTCGATGAGCGTAGGACAGTCCCAGCCCAGACTTTTCGTGAATGGATCCGTTAGTGAAGCGACATCCAAGGGATGCTCGTAGGCGTTCGGAAAACGACACCAAATCGTCCCGTCCGAAGACTGCAATAGCATGTAGCCGTCGGAGCTGTCGCCATAGTAAAACGCTCTCGGTTCCATGCTTATTTTCCCGTTTAGGTTGTATTTGTACAAATGAATTTGTTTGACGTTGTTGCACAAAAAATACGGCACGTGACAATAATCTCGATCCTTCATCGAGCCAATAAATCCTTGTCGTATATCGGCCGGTGAATATGTATCTAGAACGCTTCCGATCACCACGTACAATATTTTGCAGAAATGATGTTCACCGATGTTAAAACAGCACATGTACGGTTCGGGTCCGAAAAACATTTGCTCAACGTCAATCGTGATATCGTTACAGATAAAGGCGCCAATTTCTCCGTACAATTTGTCAATCATATTGATAAACTGGATTTCGTGCCATTGCCGAGAACGTATTGTGTCGAGAACATTCTTAAGCGCACCAATGGAACTCTCGTCAGAGGAGAAGCACCCTGAGCGATTGGAAAACACTTCCTCTTTCAAAGGACAGCTGTCGCTCGCCCCGATAGATGGTTCTAAACTTGCCAAATTATCCACCTCCATACTAGATACCTGGCCAACGATTGTACCAAACTACAGTCAAATTTTACGTCGTTCTTTATCTGACCGAGACGGGTACCTTTCGTCCGCCATTTATATAGGGCTATTTAACGCACTACCAATACGGCATGTGCAAGATCAAAAACTGGATGCTCGATACATTGTGCAAACTTTTCCATCGAAGCGGCTCTGAGCGCCTTAGCGGTCGAGAATAACGACGAAGAAAAACATACGCTATTGAAGCAAGCTTGGAAATTGGCGTTCAACGACAAAGGTGTCGGTGGCCGGGAAAGCGACATAGATGTTATACAAAGGAAAGAACTCGTCATGGTCCAGGAAATTGAAAAAATAAACGAATGGCGAGAATGGAACCGGGAAAATGAAAGTCGGCAAGAAAATGTGGGCGTCGGGTCGCGTCGGTGATCAACAAATATTGCAATACGAAAGTTACATACGTCTATTACAAGACTACTACCAATTCACATTTCGTTTTTTACCCTTCGCAAAGGGCGTGACGAGTTTTCAGGAAGGCATTTCGCAGTTATATTGGTTATATCTACACATCACCTTGGCCTTGGTAAAGATTAATCGGAGTGGTGAGCAAGAATTTATCAAATTGTTGCAGCACTTTGATTGGTATTTACTATGTGGTACGTGTAGTTACGAATACAAACAGCACGCCGGTGATTTAATGCGTGCCTTGGTCGTTTTAAAAGTTATCGAGGACGGCGCCAGCGAAACACAACCTCAGCTGGCGCCCGATGCCGAAAGAATTCTCATTATTTACCATAACAGTGTCTCTTTACGCACTCGTAACATTGCTTTGCCACACGACCAAATCGTCGATTATTTAAATGCGTATCGTGACATTGCCGTTACCCATTACAAATACCAACTAACTGCCGTTGTCAATACACAAATCCCAATTACCTGTCGACAATCAGATGCAATGAATTTGATATTAACTTGGGGTCGACGCGACGATACGTTTAATATCATAACATCGATTATTCGAAATCAATAGAGCTTGAAAAATAGCGACCATGATCATGCCGGAAACTATCAACATCTTTAGATTGTTATTCCAACTGAGTATAAAGCCCAACCATAAAGTTACAGAAAATACGATCATCACAAACGAGGCATACTGATTTTGAGTCAATATAAAACCACAATCTTTTAATGCCGTACGAAAATTTTCACCTTGTCGAGCTGTGACATCCCATAAACGCCGATTACTTGTTGCCTTCTCTGTATTCTTATCCATATAAGTACTTATACTATAATGCTCGTGGACACGGCGAATTTGAAATGGATCAACTATATGCGTCGTGATTACTCGCCACGATTGCAAATTATACTAACGTACTTTTTCACTCTATTTTTCGTATCCCTGCTAGTATTATGGGAGTCGCCTTAACCCGTCATTTTCGATCTATAGGGTCTGTATAGGGTGTAAAGGATTTATGGGAAAGATAAAGTAAAACGCTGAGCGTAAAAATGACACACGTTTATTCTTTTTTTTTGCGAGCGAGTACCTATTTATTATATATAATGAAAAACCATTGCAAATCATACTTCGAGGACTTTTATTTTTTTTGGCTTTAATGGGCTCAGGTCCTTCAAAACGATTAGGCTGGTCGACAACTTGGGTAACGTTTTTTTAACGAACCAACGGGAATCCTCTTCCACAAACAGAACGCGTTTAATGTCGCTCTGCGGATGGATCGGTAATATTCCAATAATAGAGGACCATAGATTCTCGTAATTGATCCCTCGCGTAGGCAAGTTTTCTATGACGCGAATTGGAAATGGAAACAAGGCTCTCGCGATGCACATCTCCTGAACGTTGACGGATGCCCTGGAACAAATGTAGACGCCGGTAAAATCATTGCGTTCCAACAGTTTACGACGGACAGTACTCCACGAGATGTTTCCATAGGCATAACTAAGATCGATTTTCGTTTGCGCTTGAAAATCCTCTAGAGCCTCGATAATGTCACACATATTCGAATGGGTTTAATATTGTCCACGGGCGGTTCGTTTAAATAGCGTCTCGAAAAAATGCCCGTTTCCTTGTGAGTCTCGTGATTAAAGCTAACCGGCTGGTTATTTAACAGCAAAGGTAGATCGGTAAATTTGCGATTCGGCTGCAACTGATATTCCTTTGCGTTCCGGTATCCACTCTCCGAGATCAGCGAGCTGAATAGGTCTTTGTTGGTACCGTAACGAAGTGGCTTACGCCCCCATTGGTATGTTAGCAAGGCAAACATTAACGATTGAAATGTACTCTGTTTGCCGTTCTCGAACACGAATAATCTAGTGAAGTTTACCACGTAGGAGAGAAAATCTTTAAACAGCTCTCGATTTGATGTAAAATAAAGAGGTGTATGTTGAAGGGTGTTGTAGAATAAGTTCTCATCTTTCTTCAATATCACAAATACCATCAAATCTTCGTTCAGATCCGTACGGGATACAATTAGTTCATCGAGCTCTGTTGAATTTATTTCAAAGTTCAGGGGTTTCGTATATGCGACCGTCGTATATTTGCGATCGTTACCGCTGGAATTGATCGAACTCCTAATCTGACCTCCGAGCCGACCGGTGTGCTTGTTGAGCACTTATTGCTGCGTTTCTTGAAAGATATGTGGAAGGACGTTCAAGAGAAAATAATCGCTATTATTAATCGGTTGCGCAATCTGAAGTAAACGTTTCTTCGTTTCAGGGCCCATTTTGAGTAACTTTTCTATGTCCTGTAGAGTGATCATATCTTGATTGTCGAAAATTGAACGTGTTAAATAAACGCTCAGCTCTGGCCCGAAGCCGTCTAGGTCTATTGAATCGATAACGTCGCAACTTTTCAATACTGGCGATACGGTTTCGTTGGTAGGTTCGTTGACGAAATTCTCATTGTCATTTTTTTCGTTTTCATCAGACTTGTCCAAGGTATAAACGTCGACCCATTTGACGTTCTCCCGCACAATAAGAAACTCGTCAATATGCGGAAAATTGATAATCATAATAGCCACAACGGTATCCAAGTGAAGCACGGACAGCGGAATCTTAAGAACATGAAGCATTTTCGTCGTCTAAAGTTATTTGCTCTGGTTTACAATCACGCTTGTACATTGAAGAAGCTCAAAGACCTGCAACTTATAAAGACCAATCTCCACTACAAACAAATTACTAACGTGCCGGAACCGATCAAGAAAATCAAACTAAACATACTGAAGAAACACGTTTATTTTACAATGGGTACATTAATAAAGTAATAGTATAGGGGTTGATACATTCAAAAGTCAATGTCTTGTTTCACGTCCCATCTGTGATATTCGTAGCCACCAGCATTATTGTCCAAGAACTGGGTTTTGGTAATTCGTTTGGACGCTTCCAAGTACTCCGGCATAGGAGCATTTATCAACAGGTCGTAGAGCTCGGCATCGGCAGTAGAGAGGAGTGTGTACCATTTTGATAGCCGCAGGACGTTGATGTAGTTGGGAATGCTCCTCAGAAATGCTGCGGTCAAGTAATCGCTACCCCTTCGGATTTCGTATTGCAAGGATTTGGGCATTAATTCAATGATCTCGTCCTGGGCAAGATGGGCGGCTAGAAAAACCTTCAGGGGATTGACTGACGATTCGTTCTGCGGCCCCGCATCCTTCAATAGTCCCAATGTCCGTAACCAAGCGGCAGCGTGATATTGTTCGTCTCGCATAATGTACTCGTTGGCTTTGGTGAACTCGGGTAGAAGGTTCTTGTAACGTAGCCAGCAAAACAAAGCGAATGCAAAATTGAACACGATACCTTCCATGGCTGCCCACTTGCTGACATCTACATACGGAGTGCTATCTTTTTCGGGGGCACAATCTAACCATCCAAACAGTTTATGCAAATGTACGTTACCCCACGATTCCAAACGTTCAAATTCAGATACGGTCATCTGAGTCACCACCATTTTCGTATAAACTTCTCGGTGTACAATTTCGATCAACTTTTGTATGGCGCTAAAGAATTGGCGGTCTGGCAAAACGTCGTACATGGTTACATCGCACAGTTTGTTCACTACCAGGTCGTCCGCCCTCATTAGGAACGCCAATGCAATTTTCACGGCCTTCTTCACATTTTCAGGACAATCGTTTTCAATCGAATCCTTGGCAAGATCCACGTCGCCCGCGACCCATAAACACGCAAGATGTTCTCGAACTAATTTCATCAACTTGGCATCATATTCACAATGGAAATAATTTGGTGCCGAATTAGGATTGACGTTGTACAGTTCTTCAAGAGATACGTGAGACATGGTAAACCTGAGAATATTGACCGCGCAAGAATAAACCAAACCCCAATTTATAGTGAATTAGCGAATAAAGATAACGATTTGATATAAAAGGGGGAATCGAGTTGCACGGTACACGGTGTATTATAGCGTTGTCATGGCGTACGAAGAGCTCATTAGAAACACGTTGATTTCGGTTAGTTTCAAGTACCCCAAGTACAAAATATTTGCGGAAGAACTAGCAAATGGCACGGCCGGTAAAGCTGAAAAATGGCATCTTGTCCTCGGATCAATTTCGCAAACGAAAAGTGGTAATGCTTTCTGTAATCGAATCATAACGGATTTGTGGGACACTTTCACCAAGGAAATGTACGTAGATGCAAATGGCCATATTTTTAACGCCCAACTAATGGACGCAATTGCTGCGGATCCGTTCGACTGGAATCTTCTGGGACGGTTTAATGGGACTTTCGAGCAGAAATTCGTCTTCTTGACCAGATATGCATTGCAGTATGAACGGCCCGAATTCATGTATAGACGCGTGGCCCTTTACACGCACAGCTTTGTGTCGGAGAGACTTCATTTCACTGTGGATGAATATTATGATGGTTTAGTGCAACAAGACTTTTCGCCGAGCGGACAAATTCTGCGGCATATCGGTACCAGCTTATCAACAGAATCCTGTGCAGTTTTGCGAGAATTTCGTCAAAAATCATGTACAGAAGACCACCAGACCATCAAACGAAATTTTATGGAACATTTAAGACTCTGTTTATTGAACTACGTAGGACTTGGTATAGAGTTACGAAGTACTGAAAACATCGAGCATTACAAATTTTTGGCGGACTGTATGAGCGCTTCGAACCGCAATATTGTAGCCAATTTCAATCAAAGTATTGCGGACGTACGCGTATTGGAGGTACTGCTTAAATCGAACTCTATGGCGGCCAACGTCGACCATCCATCGAATCATCTTTTTACAATCGGCATACTCGACGATCTCATGATGGCCGTAAGACAAGATACAGCATGGGGAATGTTTGACACCGACGATGAAATTTATTCGAGCGCCGTTTATCGCAAAATGAAAGACGTCCATAGTTTTGCGAAAACCATATCGGCTCGTGAATTGATGAACGTTATTTGTCAGCGAATTCTCGAGAATGGCAAACCTTCGATAATATTTTTGGATCATATGAACAGGTTTAGTCAATTTCCAAACAGTCAAGAACATCCGATTGGAAGCTCTAACCTCTGTACGGAAATTGCGCTGCCCATGAAAGACGACGAATGTGCGACTTGTTGTGTGGGCACCCTTAATGTGAAAAAAATTTGTAAGAAACTACCAATACGGTGTACCGATATCGACTTGGACGCATTAAATACTAAAACCGCTATGCTTGTAGATATATTGAATACCACACAGGCAACAAGCAGTTTCGAATACAGTCGTAAATATCGACCGCTGGCGATTGGCCTGTTGGGGTTTAGCGACACCTTTTCTCCTCACGAGAACAATGTTTACAATGATCTACAAGTCGTAAAAAAATTGGAAATGATTATGGAAGCTGTCTATATCGGCGCAATCGAGCGTAGCTGTGACTGGGGCCAACTATATACCCCGTTTGAGGACTTTGAAAAAAGCTCATGGGCCATAGGAAAGTCGCAAGTAGAACTTAGACAAGGAACGTGGAAACATTTTCGCCCCGAATCGTTACTAGTACTCAAACGAGCTCGAATGGGACTTTACAACTTGACGCTGACGGGCCAGCCTCCGACGGCTTCAATCTCTTTGCTATGCAACTGTTCGCCATCTATCGAAATGCCCGTGACAAACAGCGACAACGAACCAGTTGCCATTAAAATGTTCGGATCTACGCTGCAAATGTTTTTCGACAGCCCATTCAATGCCTTCCGTGACTCTGCACTAGCGGATCAACTAACAATTACCCAAAGCATGTATCTGGATCAGAGTTCATCCACTAACTTGTATGTGCCATCGGCCGATGCCCATCACTTGGCCAACCGACTCGGGAAGCTGTGGAAACGTGGAGTTAAAACTGGGGCCTACTATACCAGAACGCAACAGAATTTGACACGCTCAATGTTAATGACAGAAGCGGATTGTGACCAGTGCAACAACTAAATGGCCACCGTTTCAGCGGCCTCGCGTTCTTTAGATATATTGTATAACTCTTGAGCAATGTAATGGTTTGTAACTCTGCTGGATCTATGATCTAATAAATGTTTTATATCTGAATGTGTTTTCATTGCCTCGTACAGGCGACCAGCTAGTTTGATACGAAATTCGTGGAATTTAGTTCCTCGTTTACTTGGTAAATTAGCACCAAGTAAAAACTGGTTCATTGCACGATACAGCGATGCACGAGAACACTTAAAGTCTACCCAACTGGCGATGATGTCGTTCAACACCTCGTTCTCGCCGTACCAAATGACCAATCCCAAAGAGTTAGTTTTCTGAACTCGAAACGAAAACGATCCTACCTCTCGCAGCATTTCAATTTGGTTTCGAGTGAATTTACTAACGTCTGAAATTCGCTTACCAGTACCGGCGCATAATAAACATATCCTGCAAACGTAACGTATTCGGACATCATCCGAGTTTTGTAATCCAAGCCGTAAATGTTTGAGTAGTGACTCGTACTGGTCTGTTGAGAGCAAATTTCGTTTTCTGATCATTCGACAAACTTAAACATATTATATATTCACAGTCCGATGTCCAAAGGTACGGGTAAAATTTATCACTTCTCAATGCTATTAATTCGATAGGGAAAGGTGATAAATTTTACCCGTACCTGTGGACTTGTGAATATGATATGTATCAATGATGCTATAAACCTAAACGTTGAAATAAAACAACTAGGGGATCATGTACGCATATACAATTTTATTGGTGCTTCAAATGAAAATACATAGTACACACTGCATAAATAATAACCAACAGAAATTACTTGAACGGGATTAGGCAAGGTCCATTTCCTTTTCCTTTTGCGTCTTCTTCATACCGATCGTTTTCAGATAAGTGGTACACCTGATACGATTTAGCCGAGTCGCAACTTGCAATGGTGTTTCACCGGTTTGACTTTTCTGCTTCGAGGGCACATTAAACTCTTCGATGAGCAGTTGGAGAATGTCTGGTCTGTCAAGCACGATAGAAGCAAAAACACTAGAGTCACTTGGTACCACATTTAGTATTTTTGCAAGTTTTCGCACATCGTTGCATTTCCAGCGGCTTCCGATAGCAAGAAGTATAAGGCCCGGTGCTTTTGTTTGTTCGAACGGAATCCACTTTAATAATTTCATGAAGATGTCCAATTTTCTCATCTGGATGGTCATTCTGAATAAGTCCAGGTTAGCACTAGAACTCGCGTAGATATATTGGTATAGTAATAGTTCGATTTTTTTGACGTTGTTTTCACGAAGAGCTTGAGCAAATCGCCATTTGAACATTATTGCCAATTAATGGTGTCAGCTGACGACGGTTCTAGGTTTCAGTTGTCGACTATTGCACACTGATCTCTGCGGTTATTGCTGCGTATCCCATGTTTTATATAAACGCGCGTGGTTGATAAAGTGAGTAATCAGCATTACTTTACATTTGTACATTTGGTTGATGTGGGACAACTCGTATTAACATGAACCACAGCCGCATATAGTACCGTGGCAAGGGCGATCACTATGCAGACTATAAGTACGATTATCCACGCTTGCATTTTGGTCTTATTAGAGTGACTATTGATTCGACATTTATTGTACGACAAAATGGAAGGGTATTGTAAATTGCACAAAGATATCGCTGAACGAACGAAACTGGCCATTGGCAAAAGTTGTTTTATTCAAGATAACGTACACGTTCAATTATCCAATCAACCTATTGGCCCGGAGACCCAAGTTGCCTTCAACGAAGAGGCATTGTGCGACCCTGTTTGGGAATGCCGAAAGCATTTGACCGGCACCGAGACGGCAGCAATTTACCAAATTGACATAGAGTCCCTGGAGCAATTTCGCGAAATATGGCTTTGGTGTAACGATATGGTTCGGGCCGGCTATACGGCCTATTCAATTCTCAGCGCACTGCCCAACGACGACGGACTGCTGGTCGTACATCCGATGAAAATCCAAAGTGAAACTACTTTGGTTCGTGGCATTGTCACGGTGTTTTCTCTGCTAGTTGAACGATTTCGAAACGCGAAAATCAAAGACACTGGGAAAAAGGCGCACTCGTTTCGGCACAATTGTCAGTTTCCCGCTAGGACGGGAGTCATTTATCGTCAACTCTGGGATAATAACGTAGGACATCATATGTTGTGTTGTCAGTTTAAACCTACCTTCGAATGGTTGAACCAATTCAATGAAAGCATGGTTAAAAAATAAAGGCATACTCATTCTCTGAGACTTTGATTTATTTCCAACTCCAGTCGATGATCGTGCAGCTCTAAAACATCCAATTCTCGATCGACCTCTTTGGCGATAATAGAACAACAACTCTTACCGTTGCTTTTCTCGGTTGTGGTACGTAATGTTCGGAATAAAGTCAATGTAGGTCCCGCAAAATTTGTAGGCGCCGTAATTAACTTCCCAATAAATTTCATAGTAACCTGTTTTTGTGTTATGTCAGTATCATGTCCACAATTTCTTGGGTCTGGGATTCGATCATTTCTATTACGCAACTTGGAATTTTCGGTTTGACTAGATCGTAAATTGTTAGCCATTTTACACCCATGAGAGTCCAAATATCGCTCATTAGCCAAACGATCGTGCCCACCGTTAATATACATAACTGTAGGTACATCCTAATCTTAGTTTAAACACATTTGCAAATGATCGTGCCCGTCGACGTGATACATAACTAGACCCGTGTATCCTTGCAGTTTTAAATGAAACACACTTGCGGCACGCAATTAGTAAACGGTTTTCCATTTATGCTGTGCACACTCAACAAGGTCGATAAATTTACGGCTACCTGATCAAAGACAACAACATCGCGGAAATGCGATCCGATTAATTTGTAACCATTACCAACAGGATTTAAGTCGACTACATTGTTCGCACCTAAATGTATGATTTTCTTCAAATTATCATATTGACCATTTAGGACACGACTGTTCACGCTGACTGTATAATTTGTTGAACAATCTACAGCAACGGCCTCCAGTTTAAGTTCCCAATAATTGGTCGGGCTCATGGATGTCGAATTTTGCCAACTTAAGCTCAAGATGAGAGGTATATTGAAACGCAAAGTCATGGAAGTATTTTCGGTTTTAAGGTAAATTGCAGTAGCAACTTGAACCGAGACCGATTTTTCGCTAAGAATTTTATCATCAACAAGGATGATAGGGCGGCACGAAAATATTTCATGCAAAATTTGAGGATTCTGCTGCAGGTTCTGTATGACGACGGCGTGCATATGATATTCGTCTATACCGATGGCAGCAAATACATTTTCCCCATCTCGATATAGGGCTTTGCGCCGACTTCTCCAACCAATACCATTAAACGTATGATTCTGATCAAAATTATGCTGCAAAAAGAGTGACCTTCCGTTATAGCCTAAAAGCGCTGGCGTTAGCGTAAATTGTACACAGTGTTGCAGACTTGGCTTTGGATAGATAAAGCTAAACGCAAAATCATCGGCATTATTATTTTTTGGTAGTAGGTGTATTATATTGTACGAGTATTTGCGACCGGTCAGAAATGTTGTTAGTTGAGCATCAACGAAACAGATCCCCGAGGCAAATTCCCTCAATATTCCTCGACTTGTAAGGAACGGCTTCAAATAAGCGATGGTACGAGCCAAATGGGTTGTATCAAAAATACACAGATAAAGGAATTCGCGCATAGAGAATATATCGGGAAAATGATCTACCGTGACGAAATTGGTTGGGACCGTTAATTGCAATATCCGTTCGTTTTCGTCGTCGTTGTCGTCATTATAATCGTTATCGATGCTAGTTTTACAAATGTTCAATACCGTTTTAGCACGGTCGCAAATGTAAGATTTTATTGTCGACGATGTCGGATTAAACGGGTATAATGTCGGATATATCGTGGGCAAGTTCATTTTGGCAACGTTTGGCGCTTTCAAAATCAAAAGGCAAAGATTTAGTTTATCCTCTTCAGAGGCATCGTACTTTATAACTGCTTTTAGAAACTGATGCGGCCACGAGGCGTTGGAAAGTTGTAAAAATGCTCGAATATACGAATGATCTTCAAGAGCGTTTATTAGACGTTGATCTCTTTCCATACTTAAGTATAGACAACCGCAAATGTTTTTAAAGTTAACGACAATACTGTTGACATTAATCGCTTTCTTGACGATGTGCTTTATTAGTGGGTATTTTAAACCGTTTCCGCGAATCGATCGTCGGATTAAAGAAATAGTACCAAATGAAAAAGCGCTGGACATTGATATCGATTCTAGTAAAATGATTCGCCTAGTAAGGGAATATGTCACTAACAATCCCTTGGATTTTTCGGGGGCGTCCACGATTAGTGATTACTCGTCCTTAATTTTAACATTTACCGCGCACACTGTGCACAATAGACGTTTCAATGTTGCCTTTGTTAAAAACCTAGCTTCGCTCTATCACTCGGAACACGTTCTAAAAGAGAGAATCTTTTTATATACGGCTCTACCCATATTTGCCCTCGCTCAGACTTATGATACTACCGAACTCGTCGACGAATTCAAAACAATGTTCAATTACCTTAAAAACTTTGAATATACCGATTTCGTCGACCAGCTAAGGTTTGGCCTTATCCAAACGACCGCTCTGCATTTGGGTCTGATAGAAAAGGTACAATTCGTCATTTGCATACCGCTTGTAAAGTCATTATATGAGAAACGAATTCACCGAATCGCCTTTCATCGAGATGGAAATTTCGTAAATGGATTTGATGCCATTCCCAGTACAATTTACTGGGCGCGAGCCAGCCTTGACGATAAGACCATAGATCGATTTGTGCACGTTTGTCTATCCCACTTGACTCCGAATGGAGCAATATTGGCCACATACAACAATACACTTTTGACTAAACGTTGCATGTTTTGGGCATCATCTATGGGGGGTGTCTCGCACCCAGGTATCCCTCGGATATCTTTCGATGACTTTACAAATATCTCGGACCCTTTATGTTTGATACCCGTGAAAATTCCTAGCATAAAGCCGGCGTTAAAAAATCCGGTGATGTGGAAAACGAATCCGCGTTCGATACCACATTGACTTCCTCTTTATTCAACGAAACAATGGAAAATTCAGTGCTGGCCTTACCGAATGCGACTGACTCGTTGATAATTCTAAATTCGCGCGGAGAAGCGATTCTTAGTTGGAACGGTTATACGATTCTCTTTTTCACATATCGGCCCACGCTTCAGTACGACGATTTACCCAAGAAGATTGGCGCGTTTCATATTGAACGAAATTCTGAAAAATTGCATAATCCTTCATTCCCAAAGAACACTGCGACGGGCTTAAATCTCGATTACCAATTAAACACTTTTCCTACGGGTTTATTTGGAGCGATTCAACTCGAACCCGATGTTGATGTGTTTTTCGCCAATGTCCAAGGCGCATTAAACCAGACGGGTTGTTATCGAATGATTGCCCGGATCGGTTCTGGAACCTTAGGGTTTTTCAATTACATTCTACCAAATTATTGGGACAAAGATGAAAACGGCGCCAATAAGAAGTCATATACATTTTGGGAAACTTATTCCAAAGAGGACGCCGGATCCTATACGATTCTAGCCAATAATCCATTTACATTTCAGGGATTGCATTTTCTTTGTAACGGAGACGTTCAAGTTCGATCTGTAGCAATGAACAATGTTGACACCGATTATCATGTAACTATTCAAGGTGAATATCAATCGATCCAAAATTTGCCCAACATCGGCGAAATTCTTACGCTTAGCTGGGCAATCGGTTACAAGAAGGTAGATAATTTATCGCGCTATTTAGCCCGTGTCAGCAAAAAAAGTGGAAACTTTAATTTCAATGATGGTTTTCAGGTTCACACCCATTTCGAAACGGTCCCTAGCCAAACCAATGCAAACACATTGCACTTTGCCCCTCATACGATCAACGACACCGATCGAACCCGGATCTTAACGTTCGAAAACTTGAACACCTTCAAAGGGAAAATGTTGATATCCCTGGACGATCCCATAACATCCGTCCAAGGAGCGTCAATAGGTAAAATAGGAACAATACAACAATCAAACGAAATACGATTTGCCATATAATTTTTTATTGGTCATTTTGAGCATACAAACTATGTACAACAACATTTTTATTGGTCATCTTGAGCATTTAAACTATGTACAGCAATATCTAAGTACGTTCTAAAGAGAAATCGGGCAATTTTTCAGCTACAATGGTCATGAGCAAGCAATGAGAACAACTAAATGTATTGTGATTAATGTTAGGTATACACGCGTTAGATGTTACGACTCTCTTGTAGGGCTTGTCGACATTGATCTTGATTAAAGGACCCGTGTACCCTAAAATTTCTCGCACAAAATAGGTTTGAATCTCTGAGTTTAAGATTTGTAAGGCGTTCACGTCGTCACCCTGCAATACCTGCTGGAACATACTGACTAATTCAGACAGTTTTACGGGTGGGTAGCCATTGTTGAACTTGATTTTTCCATTTTGCACACAATAGATCGCGTTCGTGCTCACTTCAAAGGACATTTCCCCCGCGAATCTTCCCCTTTTGCTCATTAGGATTGAGAAATGCGTTGGTACAAGCATTCCATTTTGATCTTTAACCGTATCGTGATGGCAAAAGACCAAGAACGGTTTCGCTGGGTCTGCAACAATTAGATTTTCTTCAGAGATCATGATTTACTTATACCACTCGCGTTCGTTGTTCCAGAGACGCTGAACCTCTCTTTTATCGAAAACGAGATCGTGCGGAATAACACGATTAGCATGTTGCAACAGAGAAACTCCATCATTATCAATTCGATTATTGATTAGGCGCAAAGTTTGCAAGAAATGCGCTACGTTTGCCCAATGATAACTATTTTTCGGTACTTTTACGCTGTTTTCTACAAAACTCTTTAGGAATTGGTCAGCTTTTTCCTGACCCTCTTTCTCTACACGATTAAAAAAACATTCGTCGGACTTGATTTGATGCCTCATCCTTGGAATTTGTTCGTTCAGTTTTATCTCGCTTCCTTTGATATGGAACCAAGTTAGCATCCTGGTTAAAAGGCAATCGTAGGATGCGCCAATTCCGCACGAGCGTTGATTGTAGCCTATCTCATTGATACGCATAATTAGAGGATTTATGTCCAAGCCTCGTAGCCAGCACAACTTTATCAAATACAGAATGCTATCTTTCAAGCGGAAACCGTCGTCCTTGGACACATACGTTTCAACAAATTCCAACCAAACCACGTCGTAGGGCTCGCCGAATAATTCGAACCGTTTTTCGTTGCCATGTAGTTTGTTCATGACGACGGAATACATTTCACCTTTGCAGGGGAAATAATCGATATGGAATGCTGATTCGCACATTATCGAAGCGATACTTAGCAGATGAGAATGGGTTGGGACGATGCGTGGCTCACGATTTCTCATAAGAGGTTGTCGGAATTCATGGTTAATTTCATACATGCTATCAATTCCGCTGAATATTAACAAAACCACCGTATCACCATCCACGTCCATGTGCATTCTTTCAAATAACCACGGCGATACACCAAAGCTCATACCATTGATAATTTCGAGTTGTTGTATTAAATGTATCCCGCCTTCAAACAGAACTGGATCTCGTTTGATTAGCAATTGCGTCGTTGAGGGCAGAACGATTATATCGTTAACTTTTACATGCCACAACTTGAAAATTCGCTTTGCAATAGTAATGGGTACTTGTAATGTCATCGGATGCGAACGAGTTGAGGCTTTAATGTAACCGCGTGCAGTGTTATCCAATGGAAATGAGACAACCGTTTGTATTGTACTATGGCCTCCTTGTAAACTTGCTTTGCACGAACCAATCTTTGTACTCACTTGCATTAAACGTTCGAAATTTTTCTGAGGTGATTTGAAACGATTTCGCGCTCCTATACGATCCTCGTCGGTAGCCAAAAAATACTCCAAGGACTGAACAAACTTCTCGTTCCACGTGAACGGAGGAGGGATAACCACATGATGTCTATTTAGGTATTTATATTTGGTGCTAAGTTGTATCGGTGTCGTCTGATTGTTCAATCGATCTCTGGTCTGCTTTCGTTTATAGACGTATATAAGTTTCCTCACTTGCACTCGATTTAGGCTTTCTACCATGTGGTCCGCTTCAGACAGTGCAAACATTTCGACTAGGACGTCGTCTAACAGAATCGTCGTAAATGATGGAGCGTTCGTGATAGAGTGCAAAAATGCGACCGAGAACAAAATCAAGCAATACCCCTTTCTATACAAAATTACTAATCACTTGAAATGGTTCCCTTCCAAATTTCAATTCGTGCGGTTATATAGTGATCTTTTGCTCGTGGATTTCGATAGGATGGCGTACCCATTAGAGGACAGCTGGTCATGGTTCCTGCTGCATAAAATGGCACACATTTTCAAATGCGAACCGATCTTTCGTGTAGAAAAATCGTTATTCGAAACACGGAAGCAATCAATTACAACTTGGGCGTACCGACAAACGGCCGAAAGGGACGTATTAACGTCTGGAACTTATTGGACGTTTCTCAAAAAAGTTGATGGTGGTCAGCGCTTCCTTTTGCTACCAGTCGAACGTTTATGCGGAGAAGTTGAGCCTGCCATTTCTTACGAAGAACCGATTTTCCTTCTGGCCATCTATCTATGGCTGCGAGTGTTTCCACGTTCGATTTTACTCGACAAAAACATCGAACGGTGCAATTTTAACTATAACATTTGTTATGTGAAAATTATTGCTTGCGACAAACAGTGCGTGTTTAACGTTAAAGGTCTTTTAGCTAGTTACAGTTTAGGCGAACCAAGGCACGGTTATCAAAGCTTCGATGAACTCGTTGTACCGGCTACCTGGCTGAGCATGAACAGACTGTTGAGCAAAATTCCCCACGTCGGTGATAGGATCCAAGCGTTCAACTCAAATTACACCGAGAGAGATAATACTATGATTAAACTTTTGTAAAATGTCAAACTAAACTTTTGTAAAATGTCAAACTCAAATACATTATGCCTTTACCTATAGTTTTTCATTTGTACATGAAACCAATTTTTCGGTTCTCCTCATCGTTTAGTTTTAAGAAACATGAAGTCTGAGGTTGAAGTTACGGAGATCGTGGCTAGCGAAAAAACAAACAACTCAGCCGATGATCAATCAGTAACTTCTGTCCCGTCCTCGAGCCATTCGACAGAGTCGGAGAACACCAATGTCGATGAACCATCTGAGGACGGCCAAGAAAACGTTGATACGCAAATAAATAGCTTGGGTCATCGGCGAAAGAAAAAAAGAAACGTTTGTCGTTGTCGATGCCGCTGTCGTTGCTGTAAAATGTGCAGATTGTGGAAAGTTGCAAAAACGACCTTGTTTCCTATGAAAAAAGTGCTAAGCGAGATGAGCTGTTATCATTAAAATAACCCATGTGTATTTTTTTGTACACTTTTGTACGACATTTTATTTATCAAACACCTTGATCATTGATCTCGATTGTATGTATTTTGCTAAAAGTAAGTCGTTTTCAAACAATACTCTATCTAGTACTCGGTCGACAACAAAAATGGTTCGCTCCCTTTGCATAACAATGGCGAACATCAAGACCAAGCCGTGCACAATAACACTGTAACGAAAATGGCTCCTGTCCAAACTACCTTTAGCGGCTACAAACATATTAGGTCTATTCAAATCCCTCTCTTTGAGAAAGTAGAATATTGACGTAGTGTCGTCCATTACGTTAGGAATTGAAAACTTGCACGAACCTAATTTCGAATGTAAACTGCTCGGTAGCCATGAATAGTTGTTAGCTAACGGCATGTCTCGCGTCATCAGAGCCGGTAAACGTCCGCCAAAATTTCCATTCATCATGCTAATGGTATCGTTAACTAATCCGCGCTGTTTGATCAGGCTCTCTTTCCGTTCTAGCCGTTGACGTTTTTCCACTTGTATTCGCAGCTTTTCCTCTTGTCGTGCCTTACGCTCTTGTTCTAGCCGTTGACGTTTCTCCAATTGTATTCGCAGCTTTTTCTCTTGTTGTTCCTTACGCTCTTGTTCTAGCCGTTGACGTTTCTCCAATTGTATTCGCAGCTTTTCCTCTTGTCGTGCCTTACGCTCCAACGCGGCTTTCTCTTTCGCGAGCTTAACGGCCCGTTTTTTCATTTCTCTATCGTGGATGTGTTGTAGTTTTTGAACGAATTGCTCTTGTTGTTTATCACATTTCCAATCGTTTAAAAGGCTTACAAAATCGTTCACTTTCACCGTTTCATCGATCTCGGCCATATCAGCAAACTGTTTCAAAGTCTCTAATCCGATTGTATGTTACTGTTCGTTGACAAAAAGGGTCCAAGAGATTTATATCTTTATCGAATAGAACGGGCGTTCGAAAAGATAGCTGATCAAGTTCTGACATGAAAATTGCCAATTCGTCCGATTCGAGTTTAGCAATACTCTCTTTAATGTAAAGAAACCAAAATGTTTCGTTTAATGATAGGTCTAGAACAATTACACTTTCATTTATAGTAGCGTTGCCCGTATTACTATGCGAGTAAAGTGTTTTTGTGTGCAGTATCCAATTAATGTTGTTGTACTTTTCAAACAGCTCGAATGGACGAATCATCTTATCATAGCTTGGTTCCAGCATATACGGATGGGCCTGATAAATAAGAGTAATCAATATTAGCTTCCGTGGGTTTCCTATATAAACCGTTCATTTTATCAGTATAACAATTATTCGTGTTCGCGATTAAAACGAGCTTTTTCAATATGAGTGATGTGGAAACGCGGGGTTTTTGGTATTTCAACTTTCCAGAAACATCGCCGCCTGTGAGAGTGTACAACGTTCCTTTGGGAACATCGCTTATTCTGAGTTCGGACAATGATCCTTTACAAATCTCACAATCGCCGTCTGAGAATTCGGACAACGATGCTATGCAAACCTTGCAATTGCCGTCTGAAAATTCGAACAATAATGTGCAAACCTTGCAATCGCCGCCTGTGAGAGTGTACAATATTCCGTTAGAATCATCGCCGACTCTGAGTTCGGACAACGATCTTTTACAAATCTTGCAATCACCGCCTGGAAGTTCGGACGATGATACATCATCAGGTGTTTCCAGTAACCAACAACTACGAAAAATGGATATCGAGGAGTGCGATAATTTTGCTCCAACTCCTGCAATCAAGTACTATTCACTGGAGGGGATTCGACTCAAATCGTTTGCATTATGGCCGATGCTTCTAAAAGAGCTAATCGACCCAATGGTCTTGTGTGGATTCTTTTATACTGGAACCGGAGACAGAGTCCAATGTTTTTTCTGTGGAATAGCAGTAGATCGATGGGTGGCCGATGACGATATATGGGGAGAGCATTTGAAGTATAGTCCGCAATGTTTATATGCCCAGTCAACACAGAAAAAATTCATCATAGCGGAACCGGACAAGTTGCCGTCGTCGAACACATTCGATGTGGTGGAAAATAAACTGCACGAATGTCCAATATGTTCAGCCCTAACGGACACCATGTATGCTTTCATTCCATGTGGCCATGTTGTCTGTTTAATTTGTGAAAGTAAAAGTAAGGATTGTTTTACATGCCGTCACCGAAAGACGACGGCCATGCGAATTTATCTGTAGTCTTGAATGTTGTCAATAAAAATACAAGTTCACCTAAATGTTACAATAGTTCATGTAGTTTTAATGGTATTACCTCCTTTAATAAAAGGCATTACTGTAAGACGTGCTTGTTGCAAATAGTTGGTCGAAATAGCTTGAGAGGTTTAATAGCAGATATATTGAATCGGTGAACGTTGTCAATAAAAATACAAGTACACCTAAATCGTAAAATAGTTTATGTAGTTTCAATGGTATTACCTCCTTCAATAAAAGACCTGTGAGACGTGCTTGTTGCAAATAGTTGGTCCAACAAGTAGCTTGAGAGGTTTAATAGCAGACATATTGTATCGGTGAAGTTTTGACCATAAGACAAAATGCTAGACCTTTCTGAAGATTCTGATGAGGACAATAGGCCAATTATTTTTATTGGTCATGACAATCTTTATGTGGTATGGTGCGGATGGAATTTCACCCGTGCTGAATGGTTATGGTTTAAATACAATCAACTACTTCATATGCCCAACGACGATAATAGCTGTGACCAATACTTAAACTAACACCTGGGTGTAAATAAAAAGCAATGATATATCAAAGACAACGTTTATTTTTTTTTCAATAATCATCATCGCCATTTGGTTCGTCGTCCTCATCTTCGTCGGAATCTTTGTCTTCGTCTTCGTACCGTTTTTGACTATTCCGCTGGTCGCTATCTTCGTCGACATTTTCCGTTTCATGTTCATCAAATAAATCCTTCATCAATTGCTTGGTTTCATCTAACTTTTGCGGTCTGGTTTTTTCCACGTAAAATCCATTACGAGGACTGCACAATATAATACTACTACCGTTAGAGCTATCGATAGTATCCTTTGTTGGATCTTTATTACCCAGATAGGGTTTATATCCGGTACTGGTAATGTCCATCAATTTAATATCCTCCTCTTCTTGTTTGTCACCCCTCGAACGTTTTACGGACGCAAATAGAGCTATACCCTCGTCACCCTCCTCACGTGTACGTTTCGTAATTTTGGGAAGGGACCTTTCCAAATCCGAAAGACGAATAACTTGCTCAATTTTGTTCTTGGCCAGAACAATTTTCAAATTTCGTCGACTGAACCGACCATCAAAACGGTTCACTTCCACGGCGTCTTCGGGCTTACGAATGAGTTGGCTATTCACCAACGATTCAATCTTGTTCCAAATCGATTTACCATTAATAAAATCGATAATTTCATCGGTTGAGCGCGTCAGTTCCCATACGACTTGTATCATGATCCACAAGAACGGTGGCTTTCTTTTACTCATTTTAATTTTGAGTTCTTGACTCATCAAATTCGTCTCGTAAGTGAAGTCGCGACAGGTTATGCCGCTATCGCCCTCCGCCTTCAAACCACCGCTGGGCGTGAACGAGTTGAATTTTAAGATGAAATCCAACATGGTCATCAGGTACTCATTATCGTAGAGAAATTTGGCATTCTGTCGTACACAGGAAATTAAATCCTCCAGAGAGGCATCCAACCCAGACTTCTTGACAGCATTCATTTCTTCAACAGTCAGTTCCTTGTATACAACGGCAGCGTGTTTTCCCTGGTTTGTGCTAGTTTCGGCCTTCACTTTTGGTTTGATGGTAGTGAACTTGCGAATACTCTCCTGCATTTCGGGTGAAATGTCAATATTATCATCCATTAAATGACGTTGTAAACTAGCCATTAGTTTAGCGAGCGTTGGCGGTGGTGTGCTTACAACTTTTGCTTTCGGCTGCAGACCGCTGAACTGGGCCGGTACATCGACGGCTTGAGCTTCAATAGTTTCTGACATTCTTGTTTGTTCTAATGGTCAGCGTTTCGTTCGTTTATATATAGCTAAGGATGCGAGACACGGCATTAATTATCGACGCAATGGTGAAACGGCAAAGCGGTAGCGTTAATCTGTTGCAAGAATACGCTGAGAAACGTGAATTGATGTTTCTTGTGTCCGATTCGCCGCTCGGCGCATTTGATTCAATATTCATTAAACGTAAACTTGACGTACGAAACCTAATTTTTGTTAGTACGTACGAGAGTGACAACGTCGATTTTAAAGCGGACATTAAAATTTGTGCCAATTCGAATCCTTCCATTCTCCTTGGCCTGTTGGACGATTTCTATTTCAAATATATTAGGCCCTATCATACTCTAAGCGGGCCTTTAGATAATGGATGCTTCCGAACCAATGCAATCAACGCTGAAAAAAATGATCCAATAACCAACAACGGCACGTTGACATGGTACGACGCACCGAATTCAGCGAATTTAACATGCGGCATTAATGCAGACCCTTGCGAAGAACGCTCTGATAATGAGGACAGTTTCATCAGGCTTTAGAAAAAAATCTAATCGTCAGCAGTAGCCAGCTTACAACGGATATTGTTAAATATGTGAAACAGTTCTTCTGGTACAGCTAAACTTTGTTTCGTCGGTAGGACTAAACTAGTTCCTTTCCAGACATAGAAAACCTGTCCGCTTTTATTTTTCAGTCTCTTGATTTGCCTAGGGGGATTTCGTTCATCAATCAATTTATATGTAACACCGTCCGTCCACAAATTATTGGACTCGATTTGGCCAACATTACCGACGAAACAGGTTGGTAAAATGCTAAAAGCCAAGTAACTATCGAAAAGAAATACGTGTCGCTTAATGATTTCCGTTATGTGTATATCGGGCGGCGATAACTGAATTTGTATGCTTTGTTTTACAGTAAGACACATTGGCAATGGTCCTTTCATCATTTTTTCAGTCCCGTAGTAGTAAGCCTCTCGTGGCAAACTCTCATCACCGTCGACAAAGAACAATTTTGCTTTAAAACAGTCATGTTGGATTTTTGGTGGAAACGGCACTTTACCATCGAAACCAATACTTTTCACCATCATAAACGCTTTGCGGTGTCTGACGATATACTTGTAAATATCCTCGATGTCGTATTTGGCGACAGCGGGCAAATCTTTTTTATTTTCATAGTACGTATCGTTGAAATTGATTTCGCTAAATTGATCTTGAACGAGGGCCGCTTCAAAGAGAGGAAAATTTAAAATCGGTTGCTCAGCGATAAAATTTACGCGAACATATTTAGTTTTGTCGCGCAAACTGAGTTGCGTGCAAATAAACGGATCTTCACGTGGATGCGTGCAATAAAGCAATTGGCTACCGTAGCGCACTAAACCGAAACCGAAATGTTTATGTGGAAAGAAAATGTTTGTAGAACAGAGGAACATCTCTGGAAAGCGGTAACGCAAAGCGTACAACTCGTTTATGGAACAGCCTTCAATGGTTCCGATATTCAGATCAGATAGCTTAGCAAAATGTAATATGCGCGGTCCTTTTGTCTTGGACTCTGGTGGAATGGTGTCCAAAGCGGAAAGTGGCATTTCACCCCTCAAGCGATAATTCCACGCTTTTCCAATTTCGTTTGGTCCCGAACATGGACATTTGATAGGGGAAACGTAAGGTAGTTTGGAATGAACAAAATTAGAAATCATCTTATAGTATTTTCAACGACCTTTTCGTGTAGGCATCGACTCGTTCTAAGAAGTTGAAATGGACATTTTTTCAAACACCCGATTGAAACTTTGGACAATTGGTAGATACGTACTGATGTTAATTTTGATAGGCGCTTCGAGCCGCATGTGGTACGATCAGATACTAGCCGATATTGCTTTGAGCAAACAGACAGTTATTTGGGCAACGACAAATGGCCGACAGATATGGCAACAAACTAAAAAGTACTTTTTTCATAACGTATAAGTATGTCCGAGTTACTTCAAAGGCAAAATCAAGCTCCAGTTTTTTCAACCACCGCGGCTCCACGATTTATAATTGGTGCGCCTCAAGCAAATTCCGAAGCACTGACGCAACAAGAGAACGTTCGTTAAAGCGGAATATCATTTGAACCATTTAATGCCGGTCGATGTTAAACAGTCTAAATATCAGGCTGTTCCTGTTTGCCTATTTCAACACATTGGTCAGTGTGGCGGTCATTCAATAGTTAATGGGTTTTGTTCTCGTCATATTTTATTAATCTTGAACGGTACTATACAAACGAAACATGCACTTATATCGCGCAACGGATCTCCGAAACTTGTATCGATGACGGGTTTAGTCAATCAGGAACCATTGGTTTCCATTGACAATATCGCCTCTCAAACGACGGCCATATTTCCAGTTTTTGAGTTAATGCTTAAAGAATCCAGAACAAAAGGACTTTACATTTTATTCGAATCAGCGGAAACCGCTTCTATTGGAACAACAGTGGTTGTATAAAATTTACACCAATAGACTTTCACAAAACGAACAGATAAGCTTAAACAATTGGATCGAATATATGAGCGGTTTCGACTTTCCTAAAACTGGTTGGTATTTTCTAGGTGAACGCTCGTTGGATCTCACACAGTGTACTATGGTAACGCAAGCGTTTTGTTCAATGTTTCAACCACAGGCTACCGATATTGGTGGCATCACACAATGTACATTTAGCGGTATTGGTATTTACGCAAAGCACCATTTTGTGCGAAACGACTCTCTGTTTTGGGAAGGAACCGATCCTGCCCGACGGGCCATTGGTCCCTGGTTAATCGCTCCCGTTGTTACGGGATCGAAGATTCCTTTGCGTACAGCTCCCTTGTCTAATGAACTGCAAATTTCGATCAAGTATAAACAACAACGAGTATCATACTATTAGAAGCTTTTATTACACATATACGGTTGTTATTTTATTACATGTATACGGTTGTTACAATTTACTAAAACGTATGCTTTAAAACTTTGCGCGTGCAAATTTGTCATTGTCGATCGGCTGCGGATTGAAATCGACGGTTTGTCCCTCGGACGTAAATATTTGCGAATATCGTTGATCAAACTCAATGTCTTCCACTAGTTTACCGCGATGAAAAACTTGCTGGACCAGGCCGCGTCTCTTTAGAACATAGGCCAACGGTTCAATCCAACACGTTTTTGGCAACGATTCGTTATCGCCGCATACCACTTGCCACATATACTGTAAATAATTGAGAGTAAAATGATAGCAAGAAACTATATGAAGATCCCGATTATATTCGTGAACGGGTACAATTTTAACTTGGTCCAAATCGATTGCCTCGCCTCTAATGTGGACTACAAGCACCGAATATTTGGTCCCATCAGTTTCGCCCATGTTCAAAGCGTTTGTTACAAATTCTTGATATAGCACCGGTTTACGTTTCGAATTGATGATGATTTTTACATAAAGTTCATTCTGACTTTGAGCGAGAATATAGTCAAAGATCGCTACCAATAGGCTGTTTCGATCGGGCTTATTGGAATAGGCCTCGAAAGTGTGCAATGTCGAGGCACGCCACACTGCGATGCATAATAGATTAAAGATTTGTTTAATAATGAGAGGTGCATTCTTTTCCATTCCTTTCAGTGAAAAGTCGGAGGCGTTATTAAAGCGCACATACTTTTTTTTTCCGATCACGATGCATAGTGGAACGTCACCTTCGTCTTCAAATACAATATGTTCAGTATCAATTGCTCGCGTGATCGAACTGCAAAAGTTTTTACTGGATATTGTTTTTCCGGGTGGCAGGTGCATCATCACCCCATCGGTGTCGATGTATACGGGAAGCGCCTTGTATAGTTCTTGGCTCTGTTTACATACGAGGTAAATCAATTCGCGGCAATGCCAAGTGATACTGGCCGCTGCTGCGTACGATCGATACGTAGCCTGTTCGGCTCCCAAATATCCGTAAAGTGAATTGGCGGCAGTCTTCCATAATATTTCTGAGCTCTTTTCACCCGAAAGTTTATATTTTTTGCGTTGACCCAAGAAAAAAAGAAAGAGTTCCTTGAGCGGCGTGTACTTGAATTTCGCAATTACCATTATTAGTGTACTGGGTGAGAGGCTCGTTATTTCATTTAACCCAACTTCCATAAAATTCGGCGTGCCCATGAGAATTGTTTGTAAGACGTTCTCATCGTTATACACTTTAAATACTAGCGAGCGTTCAAAGTACTTCAATCGGTCTAAAACGCTCAGTATTTCCGACACGTACATATACATTACGTTTTCTATTGAAATCGAAAAGGCTATACTGGTAGATGGATACATTGCGGCAAAATCACCGCATTTCACATTACGCCATATCCCCGAAATAGCCCCGTTGGCGGCACCTTTGTACTTTTTCACCGTGATGGTGTCCGATCGAATGTCCACGGATTGAGCTAACGCGTCGGCAAGACGTTTTTCATAGTCAATCACTTTTGTTTCCACGTCCTCCAAGTCTTTAATGCGGTCCTCCCAAAATATTATCGGATTAAGATTAGATTTGATAAAGTACTTCTGATCAAAGAAAAACTTTTCAATTCCCTTGCTCATTAGATATGTTTGGCCACCGGTTAACGCTCGAAATCCGTCGCAGCAAAAGTTCTCTTGATAAAGCAATACGTAGTCCAGTGCATGAACGGTCCTGATTAATTTGTGCAATAGCAGGCAATCGGTGATGTTGTAATGTAGAATATAAAACAATTTAGGTACCTCGTTTACTGATTCGACTTCAAAATTCAAGTCCAACAATTCGGGTAGTTGTTTTCCCAAATCGTAATAGAGATGACGAATTTGGACCGAGTCCATATCGGCTTTGCCTTCACCTAAAAAATGATTTGCTACAAAGTTTAATTTGAACGAGGGTAGCGTCTTGTATTTACTCTGAACGACCTCGTATAAATCGATGATGAAGGATTTTTTATACGAGCCATGGAAAAAGTCGTAAATTGAATCGATTATAGTTAGCGTGTGTGGCGACTTGTTCCTGTGAGAAAACAATCGAGCCGCTAGATAATTGAAATCAAAGTTGTTCATGTTATAACCCATATAAATTGTAGGTGTTGTACAGTTTTTGGTGAGCGACGCCACGAACTTTCCGTGCAACATTCGTCCAACTAAGTTCATGATTAAATCATACTCATCAAAGAACCAGTCGATGAAGATCGATGTTTTTTGTTCGCCGGCTAGGGATCGATAATATTTGATGACTTCACTGTCCCATTCTTTTGACGGTGTAAAATTGGTCGGAGCTAAAACCTAAAGGAAAATGGCAAAGGTGCCACGGTACTCGACCGAAACACATACCGACGAAATTTTTTCAGTCGTCGTAAATCCCTTTGGAAACTGGTAAAGTGAACTGCAGACCGCTTCGATATCCCAACTGATTAAAGCAAATTCATCGAGGATGTTTGACGGTAAATTTTCAAGTTGAGCTTCTTCGATAGTTACATTTCGAATATTCGAATTGGTCAAGTAGAACCAGGATGCCATTGACAGCTTAACCTTTTTCGTCAACCACGTTTCGAAATAAAGCCGTTGAAAAGAATCCACATCAATAAGGTGAAAATCTGTCCTATGGGGCACGTTTCGTTTTAGGTAAGCCTTCAGCTCTGAATATTCTTTCACTGATATTGTATCGACCCGCCAAACGGGCCACTGGGGAGAGCACTCTTTTCCATTGACAATAAAATTAATCAAGTTGCCGTTGATGGTTTTGTATTGGTCCTGTTCGTCGTTCATTGCAGCGGTAATGGGATATATAAATACGTTCGGATAGAGCGGTTCTACATAATTAACCAAAAACTCCTGCTGACACGTTAAGAAAATTGAGGTTTCCCAAGTGACCGAGTGGTGTTCTATTCCAAAACGATTTTTGTTAGTGTCCTTCTTCACCAAACCGATTACGTGCATCATGAGCACACCGTCGGACCCGTCAGCATTTTCCTCATCGCCGTTTCCGAAACGAACATGGAAAGGAAAGATAAACGTTCCTCGAGTCGACATGACGGCGCAACTTGACTATTTCGACGAGTCTGATATTTTTCACAGAGCCGAATTGGCTAAGCTGAACTTTATGGAGCAACGATTTTATGAACCTGATGAGAAACGCGAAATGGGTTTTGTAATTAAGTCTAAATAAATGATTACCGTATATATAGTCGTTTTACTTTTGGGCATTTTATTGTTGCCACTACCGCTTGCTCGTGACACGGCAAATCGACTTAAAAAAATACAATATAATTTGACACAATTAACGGTTTACGAACGTGGGCAATCGCGACTGGCCATCGTAGAACCATTCGGTTGGACCTTTCTCAATTTGGATACTACAATTTACTCTTTTACACATTTACCCGGTCGATGTAAACAAAACCAAAGCAGCGTACATATATTGACACCTGAATTGGGCTACGAACGGCCATCTCTATCCGTTCATTGTTATAATGCTACAGTTGCATCACTTTGTTCATTATTCAAAGAGAGCAAGAGCGAAACTGTACGAATAGAATTGACCGAATCGTTTACCGCAATAGACGCGATCAATTTTCTACTTCGAGAAGGATTATTTCGAGGTACCTAATTTTTTTCCGGACGTAGTACTGCAGAGGTGACAACTTGTTTAATAATCGATTTCATGATAGATGTTTGGAATAAATTTTGAACTTCATCTGGCATAGGTGATCTAATATCAGCGACCATGCTCTGATCATTTTCCAATGGTATTTTTACTGTATACCATGGCTCAAAGGAACCGCGAAAATCGGAAAGACGAGCATTAACGAACGAGCTCTTGTTCAAATCAGGCTCATGGAAAATTATTCTATCAAAATCTATTGTCTGATGCCAACTAGAGTGTACTTGATCAAGTAAATCAAAATTTATTTCATACTTATTTACGGTAGCTTTGTCATTCTTTATAATTCCGAATTTGGTTATTTTATCTGGAATATTTGATAGAACGCTACTACGCACTTGAGGTACAAACGGGGTTGTTGGTTGTGATTGATTTGTTGAAGTGCTCGGTTGTTGGTGATCTTCTGAAACTGTTTTTCTCTTTACTTTCGTTTGCGAGCGAGTTATATATGGCGTAAACGTCGTTTCATTATCAGATTCCTCAGACTCATCACCGGTAGAGTCGCCGCTCATCGATTCTTGACTACTGCCGTGCGTATTTTCATGATCAGACTCCATGTCTGGGAAATTTAGTTTATGTTGCAGTAAAGGCACTATTTGTGGTCGTTTTAATGGTCGCTGCTCTAGATCGGATTTATAATGTAAACGTCGTATTTCAGAAATCTTACTTCGAGTCACTGCTCGTATATTATCGAACGTACAAACGTTGGGCTCTTGACCCGGCGGAGAAGTTACCTGTATACTATAATTCGCTCCCGATACGACGGGATTGTTTTCAGTTTCGACTGAGACCGAGTCCATTTCCGTATTGGGCGTGAATAACTCTACAGGTGGAACGGGAAATTCCTCCACTGCTATTATGTGGTTCTCTTTATAAAAGTTTATTTGCGGACCAACTTTCAAGGAAATTGGGTAAATGATATTGGCATAACTCGGATTGATTTCGACTGTACAATTCTCTGTTGAAACACCCCGGACAAATTCATGTCCTTTCGGTACGCGAAATCCTTGTGCAGATAGAGTATGCGGCCTATAATACATGTCATGTTTTATTATGGTCGCTTGTGACAAATTTGCTTCGCTCATCTTATTATAAGAGGATGAACATTCTGGACTGGAATCAGTGGCGGTTCCTCCATAAGAGCACATGTGCACGTGCACTCCCAAATTAATATCAAACAACTTTAAATTTAATTTTATCATTCTTCAAATTTTAACAATCTACCTGTAAAGTATTAATTTAAAAAATTAGTGGCCAAATGCGCCAGCAAAACAAACGCAACCGGCATTTATTATGAATTACAAATTATGTGCACCCCCAATATGTTATACCACGAGCCGCCACTGACTGGAATGCTACATTAAATGGAACAATACCAACTTCGGTGTACCTTACACCTTATCTCGACTGCCAGTTTGGTGCAACGGGGATTATAAACTACGAACAACTTTTTCAAACCATCAAAGAACTTTGTACACTGGGACAATATTGGGATGTTGAGGACTTGGGTCGCTTTCTTGCACAGACAAGTTTAAAACATCCTGAATTTATTGCCCTCCGTTCGATGGAGAAAAACAACGGCTACGAAGATAAACAGATTGTTATTACTGGCTCAGTAAACGGTCAAACCAAGTCCAATTACCCGAACAGTGGCCCAATTTATTACGAGTTTCCACAGTTGAGTACCATCGATTCATATAATAATACAGCAAGTTTCGACGGCGTCATTTTCGCTCCGCAATATAACACAAACATTCGAACGCCCTATATATATCCCAAGTTCCTTGAAGATAACGCTGAACGCGAACAGTTTCATTCTATACCACCTCTCGTTGGTAATTCGTAAGAAGGTATGGAATTTCTTTCGTCCGTCACATTCGAATCTTTTATTGATTACGTGCAGTTAGGTTTTAAGCTCGCACAAGAGACTCCTTCCATGACCGAGGCCGAAGCATTCTTCGTGCAAAAGTTATTCACGGGAACGTTAGAGGAAACGCTCAACGCCGCTTATTCCTTACCGAATTATATTTCATTGCAGACCATTGTTCAATTGAAATCTCAGTTCAAATTGAATAATCCGTCTGGGAAATTGGGCACGTTACACGTTCATATCAGTAAAAATTGGTCGAAAATGCAACGAGCTCGTAAACGCTTATGTATAATGTGCTTGAAGAATCGACCTCGCGTAATACGAAAAATCGAATGTCAATTAACCGATCGAAGAGAGAATGAATTGCAGCACGATCCGAATGAAATGTACGCCCTTGCATTGGCAAAATGCGAAACGGCTGTCATTGTTTAAGTATGCAAGAATATTCGATTCCCTTCTTGGTGTCCATGTACAATAAACCAGCCGACTATAAGACGTTCGAACTACGCAAATTTTACGTTAATTTGTCAATCGTCTTTGCAATTACCACGGTAATGATTGTTTTCGTCACAATATATTTGTACCAGAGAACGTCCCTCTTTGAATTGGACGAAACGTTAAGCTATTTTCACAAGTATCGCAAATTACACGCAACTTGGCCGCATAAATTTACCGAACTGGAAATGTGATGAACGTTTATTTAACATTTAGTAAGGTCTAGAATATAAATGAATACAGAAAACAAAGAACGAAAATATCACCTTTTAGCTGCGCGAATGGGAGGTGTTCTCACGGGTAACAGATTTACTGAAGAACCGACGGTAAATAGTATGGGAACGGTTAAACAACAAACAATCGAAACGGGTCAAATAAAAAATATCTCTCGATCTCACGAACGTATTATACAGACGGATATTCCTCCTTCTACAGAACAGAAACGAGCATCGGATTCTGACAATAGTGATATATTCCCAAATTATAGACGGATCATAAGACGGTTACCCCGAAAGAAAAAAACAAATCCGATTTCAGACATTGTCTCGTTTGCGTCACTACCTCGACGTGATAAGACCACAGTACCAAAAGACAGTAAATGTACTACATTAGAATACAGTTATCCGGGCTCGTGTAATAAAAAACGTGGGATGATTGTTACTTCATGGGACGTGCCGTTGCATTTACCTAAACTTAAAGCGGGAAAATACTTAAAATTGAAGTCAACTGTACGTCTGCTGGGACGATTGGCCTCGTATGCGATTATGAAATACAAGCAGACTAGCAAAAACCGTTCCATGTTAATAACACTCAGGGCAGTTGGTAAAATCATATATCACACCTTCAAGCATATTCAGGCTCCGAACAGTAAACTAAAAGCACGAGATTTGGAATTAACTGATTTTCATCCTCAAATGGCAATGGCGCTCAAAAATATAAAGGACTCTGATGACGCGGCCAAAGACTTGAAAAAAGTAGTGGCGCTTACGGGTATAAAGCCGCATAACCAATTACTCCTAACGATGCTCAACAATTAAAGTGGCACGCGCGCTTCGCTGATGGAGATACGTGTCGGTCGTGACACAAACGTTAGTAAATGCAAGGTATATACTATAAACTCTTTTAACGATATCCTTCGTATTCGGAAACAGTACGAATATGTTTCAATTTTATATAAAGCGACGTTTCAATATTTAGGTTGGGTGGATGTTGATTGCAAGATTTGCAAACAATCGCTCAAACCTTGTCAACGAAAAGTCGCGATTCCAATTAGCGTGAATAATTTTTTTAAGAGATACAACGGTTGTATACTTCGCGGCAAATCGTGTGGCTTTCACGCCCTCTACGAACTTCGAGACGGTAATACGCTAAATCAAACTTGGAACGAACTAAGCCGTTTATTACCGAATCGCTTAGCCGTTGATTATAAATGCAATTGCATAGCCGTACCGAGGTGTTGGGGATATAAAATCGGTTCGAAAAGGGGAATTGCAGTTTTAAAAAGATTGTGGTACTTGGAAACTCGAAATGAACCCCGACAAATTTAAAGCGAAACGTTTTTTCGACGTCGAAAATGATTTCAGCGATGCAGACCCTGGGAATGCTTTTAGCGATGCAGACCCTGTGAATGCTTTTAGCGATGAAGACCCTGTGAATGCTTTTAGCGATGGAGACCCTGATGTAAATGATTTCAGCGATGCAGACCCTGGGAATGACGAAACATTTGTTACGTTAAGCGATGTAAAAAGAAAACGAATAGCAAGTGACGCTGAGTCAACACTCAAAAAAAAGACTCAAAATGCCAAGGGATACCGGAATACAGCAAATCCAAATATAACAAAACGGGCACGCTTGTCTGTTCCATTGTCATTAGAAAATGCGAACCAACAAAAACCACCGACTGAAAACTATTCCGATGATGTAGAGTTCTATGAGGAATCAATTAACGTAGCCACAGAAACGGAGGCGACGTCAGTGCACGAAGCCGTTAATCAGAACATAGAAAAATATTTATTGGACGCCGTTCACGTGAAAGTCGATTTGAACGAACAATTTGTTCAAGCCCGATCGAAAGCTCTCAAGACCCAGAAACAGATTAAAAAGATTCAGTTGATCGAGATACCGGAAGGAGAAGAAGACCGTATGCTCAAAATTGACGAAACCTACAAGGAGTTCGTTCATCGCACAAGAAAATTATTCAAGAACTTTGTAGTAATTTGGGACGCTACGATACACCCCGACCATTATTGGAGACATTTTATACAAATCGTGAATTTTAGTACAACGTTAAGTCTAGTGCAACTTCACGCTTTCATTCTGCCACAATACGGTCACGAAGAGATAATTCAGTACATCTTGTGGATCAATTCCCATAGCGTTTCCCCAATAGAAACAAGTGCGGATGAAATTGAACGTGACAACGATCCAGATGATGAATTCGAATTAAACTATTCGACCAAGGACAATTTAGAATTATCCCAACAAGCGCATTTCATTTTGAAATATTACTGGAGAAAGGCAACGATGATTGACCAACTAAGTCGGCAGTTGCGTTTTTGTACTTGGTGGTACTATTTGTTTTTGGAACGTAAATCTTTGCATCATATCGCCGATCCGCTAGTCAAATTTAATCGAGTACTGAGCGTCCTGTATATGCGCGATTTGGCCGAAAAATCTAAATGGATCGGAAAGGCGAAAGCAGCAAGCAATACCGATTTAAAGGAACTTTCTAAAGTAATGGGAGCCGTGATGCCAGCAGAACTGTTGTCCCAAAATGTCTTGAGATGTGTGAAGAATTCATCGTTGTGGAAAACGAACGAAAATTACCTTTCAATGTTAACGAATTATTTAGATGTCGTCAACGCATATTTTTGGTGCTCTCAAGCGAAACGTCACTTTGACAATGGCAATTACGTTCCCCATGGTATCAATTTGACCCGCATATTTGCCCAAATGGGAATGGTTCTAAAAAAATTCGATATTGTGCTCAACGACGTGCAAGGCAGTAAACGGGCTATAGTCGATAAATTTGTCGCTTGGAAGCGAAGCTCGGTGTATGAAGCAAATCTACAAAATGTTATGTTGGATATATTTGAACATAACCTACCTTGCCTCGACACAGACTTTGCACGCGAAAATGCGTCAGATTTGGATGTTCGTATTTTCCAGACACTTCCTATGGAACTCGAAATTTTGAGCGGGTTTATCGCAAATTCGATGATTCCGTTTGTCAAGGAGTTGTATGCCATGTTGTTGCCGTCCCTGCTATTGTATAATCCGTTAGCTCAATCGAACTATTCGTTAGTTTTGAACAAAGCTAATCCCATCGATGTGACGAAAGAACCAATTTTCGAATACGAAAATATAGCCGAAAATGAGACGTTGTTTTACGAACGCGTGTACGTTCCATCAAAAATCACGTTTAGCGATTTTGACAATATGTGCAAAAAGTTGACACGTAATCAATGCTTGAAGTTGCTAGACCATCCCCTAATTCTACGAGCGTGCAATGTTATCATCAGTATGGCGGTGGCATTTGGCCGAAAATGTTTAACCAATTTTTTCGTCTATTATTTTGGTGAGAAACGCGTAGGTAAAGGACGCCGAGCCCGATATTTGCAAGAGTTGTTTTTTACCGAATTCTCTCGCATTGATGAAAATGAACAGACGTCAAATTCTCAGTTGGCCCCGCAATCCTCGTCAAATCAATATGTAGCCGTTCTTTCCTATCTGCTAGCTCAAATGTCATCTGATAACAATGAAATAGACGACGATAATTCCCAACAGAATGAACCGACAGAATCGACTTCATTAAATTTACTAGACACCTATTCAGAAGATATTTGTCTTGATCGTCTCGAACAAAATGTTGTCGAAATGCGTCGTTCTACATTTTTGAAATGTATTCGTGCCGAAGGTAACAAAGTATCGTTAGCCAACCTAGATCGACAGATTTTAGTCTTTTTGGTTCGCAACGTATTGTTGTTGTTGCGCAATTCTTCAGACGACGATCGAATATTGGGCGATAATGGTTCTATTGCGATTTTGCGACGGTGTCGTTTGACAGTGTTACAAGATCTACGGAAGAGCGAATCCTTTCAACCCGGAATCATATTTCGTTCACAAGATTTAACAGACGCCTATATCAAATTCATATTGCCCATATGTCAAGAAATATTGGGGCTGTGTCAGACGAAATTCCTGAAGCCAGTGACGCCCGGTTTGAGTTATGAAGATGCAAAACGACTCTGGGACGAAATCGAAGACGACCTCAAATCAGTGGCGGCCGCATCAATTTTTCTCTATCCGTACTGTTTCGATAATTCGCAGGTGTTTGATTTTTTGTTAAAGTACCTCAAAGGCCACGAGATCCCAGGCCAATGGCACAAGAAAGTTTTACTTTTGTACGGCAACAGTGATAGTGGTAAAACGTATTTTCTCAATTTGTTACGAAATGTCTTTAAAACCGGAGACAATTATGTTATTTCGTGCGGATCTTTGGCCAAAACCTCGGGTGATTTGAATCAAATAATCAACCCGTTTTCTGAGAACCTAATGCTTATCAGTGAGGAACCTAAAACAATGGACATTTCAACGTTGAAGCAATTAGTTAGTGCGGGGCCGGTAGGCTCTAGACAAATGTTTAGCGAGAACTACGTTTCGAAATTTGTAAACGCCAAGCTGTGGTGTTCCTCGAATACGATCCCTGTAATTTTTAACTGTGATCAGGGTGCGGATACTCGATTTTTGGTCCTACATTTTAAACACAAGTTTTTACAACTGGGAAAGTTCGGTCAAATATCGAATGACAGAGTGGCTCCTCCAGAGATTGCATTGCAAATAACTCGTAAGAGGTATATTCAAGGAGTCGACGACTGTGCCATCATTAAAGGTTTCTATTTGCTGCTTAGAACACATTTACTAAACATAGTTTGCGAAGAGAACGGCATAATCAATTTGTTGGTGCCAAAAATTATTGAGGAAGAAACTGCACGTGTTTTGTGTCAAATGGACCAGTATCTCCAATTCAAGAAAGATATCGAGGTGCTTGCTGATTCGACACATGTAACAACGACCGCTAAACTGAAAGGCGTAATAAAGCTTTGGATGAAAACCAATTGCTTTACCTCCAATAACATCAATACCACAATCAATACGTTTCTTAACCGTTTTCGTGAAGACTATTACCATTTACTGACAGCCGATGGACACGAAAATTATCATTGCTTAATTGAATTGAGTGGAAAAAAAATGTGATAAACACGTAATAACTAGTTTCATTTCCTAAAACCCTTTACTACATTATACATTTCCAAAGCGAGGTCGGATAAACCCCGCTCCTTTGTTTTGTAAAACATATTAATGCTTAAAAGATTTTCCATCAGTGATTTACTTTTCGAATCGATTCGGTTCAACTTTAAAGAAAGCGAGCGATTAGTGGCCATCACTTTCCGTAATTGTCCTTGCACACTTGCGGCATCCTTTACCCTATTTTCCATGTCATTTATCTTCTGTTCTTGTTTGGAGATTGTTTTGAGCATTCGATCGGACTTATCCGTGAGTTTTTTGATGTAAAGTTGCAGATCATGCACAGTATTTTGATATTTGGTTGCTTCTTGTTGTTGTTTGGCGATTAATTCTCGATTGTTGGTTTCTAGCGTGTCGATTTGCACCTTTAGTTGTGAAACTAACTCCTCATGTGTTTGCTCTAAAATTTTCCGTTCGTTCAAAAGGCGTTGCTCTTCTAATTTATAATTCTCAATCGCGTCTTCGGCAACTTGAAGTTCCTTCTTCATTTTTAGCGATTCCATTAGTTGAGTATGAACGTTATTTAAACGCGCTTCTAGTTCGTTTTTTTCTCGCTTGTATTCGGTAGTTTGTGCAACAAACCTTTCTATCCTGGCATTTAGCGCCCGTATCTCGTTACGTTGACGATTTATTTCAGTGAGAGATAGATTATGTTTCCGCGTAAGATTGGCGAGCATTAAAATGTCCTTTTCAATATCTGTTGATTTTGCAAACAGTTTTGTCTTTATGATGTCGAGCAAACCTATATCTTTTGACTTGTCTTTTTCAATATTCAAACGTTCCGATAAATCGGCAAGCTCTAATTCTTTCTGTCGGAGATCCTCAAAGGCAGATGCCAATTGAGCTTCGATAGCTAATTTGTACGCGTTCTCATTTTGTAATAACAGAGAGGTATTGTTTAGTTCGTTTTTCGATTGCTCCAGTTCGTCACTCATCGAGTCTAATGTTAATGTTTCTAGGCGCATTTGTTCTATTATTATGCGGTACTGTTCGTATTTCTCTAGAGCTTCGTTCGTTATGTCTCGTTCTTCCTTGAGACGACCCATTAAAGAGTCGATATGTTTTTGATTAAATTCGAGTTCTGCCTGAGTTACCATTTTGCCCGTAGATGCAACAGTTTCCTCTATTGCACCTTTTCGTAAAAGAGCTAATATAGAGGCTACGTCTATGTTTACTGCCACCGGTTTAATGGAGTTCATAACGGGTTGTCGTCCCTCAAGCAAGTTCCAGGTTATAAAATCAGTATGAAGTTGGCCTTCGTACGTGTTACTTAGAAGGAAATTTCCTATTCTTGTTAGAAAAATGTACATGAAAGCTTTTCTATCAAAGGTTGGTGGTAAAGGAAAATCGATAGATTGCGGTAGGATATTTAAATCGTCGACTTGAAACGGTTCGGTCACTGTATTAGAAGACATCTTAATAACAAATGGGTATCAAGCAATTTACCCGTGTTGGGGTACGTCAGACATCAACGCTCGATGAACCGGTCAATGTTTGCGTAGACTGTGCCAGTGTTATTTTTGGTCTGAAATTTAAAACGGTAACATCGGCAATACGGGCACTCAAATCTATACAATTCCCACCATCGACTCGTGAAATTGCATTTTTCTGTGATAATTTGGCTCCGTTGCAGAAGAAAAATGAACAAATGCGGAGGAAAAATTTATGGCCCTCAAAGTACACCCAGTTTAATGAATTTCGCGAATTGATGCAGCAAGCTATTAGCCTAGAATTTCCCACCGCTTTTGTCGATTTCAAGTCAATCGGTGAAGGAGAAATAAAAGCCCTCAACTATAATTTGTTCGAGGATCCAACGTTGACTCGAATCATAATCGCTAATGATAACGATGTATACATGTTAGGATATAATGTCGAAAATTGGCGAAAAGTAACATACAATGCTGAACATCGTGAGTTCCTGTATGAAGAACCGTTTTTTGAAATACCGATGCGGGAACGGCCAGCTCTCGTGTTGATATTTTCCATGGCTTTTGGAAACGACTACTTGTACGGTATATTTCCAGGTAGCGTTACAAATTGGAATACAATTTACAACAAGTACCGTGCGAGTCCCTTGGCAGTACCACTAATAAACGAAGAGCAAACAGGTGTATGTGATTCGTTGAAATTTAACTTCAAGCCTCCCGATGCGCCACTCTCTATTGACGTTGTGAAATGGTGTGTTAAATTCTTGATTGACACGTTCGACCGTTACATTGTATCGAGCAAGGTGCATGTACCAGCCAGATTGGAAACCGATTTTTTTCTATACTTGGACAGATTATTTTGGACCGCTGAATATTATCGGTGTAAGCCGGCAGGATGGACCGACATGAGTAAGTTTGGAAACGAGCAGCTCATTTCTGAAATAACGCCAAAAATCTCATTGGCTCCGAAACACTTGCCTCAACTTTATGACGTATTGGAAAGAATCTCTACCTGGTCCGAATTACTCGTCGCGATTACAACAGCCCGTAAAGAGTATCACGTTGCTTTAACCAACATTAAATAGGCGTTTACGTTTAACCGAAAATGAATAAATCGTTCTAGTTTAACAATTGTGTTTTTGTCCTACTCGAGCCCAAACAACCGGCCGTTTTACGTTGGTATACGAACTTGGGCTAAACTGATAAGGACCCAACCGCAAAATTCTGGGCACACAATGGGCCGAGTTTAGAAAAAAAACACGAGGTTTTTTTGGGATCTAGTGCCCAGACCATGCCCAGACTTTTGCGGTTGGGCATCAAAACCAAAAAAAAACGAGCCCAATAATTGCCCATTCATTGCCCACGGGCCTACTTTGGGTCACGTTCCTCTTTCAAAGGCCACGTGCTTGTTTTTTCATAACCGGGAAATAAGCTATCCTGTTTCACACACCTCGGTACTGGTTGATTAAAAGCGTCCTTTTCTCGAAAAATTAAATTGGTGTTCTCCGGACATTTACAGCTCAATGGTGAAAATTGAACTCGAGTTAAGTCTATATCTATCACACCACCCTCGCACACTTTATCAACTAACTGGTCCGAATCTGAGCAGATCTGTTTATATAGAGAGAGACATTGCCAGCTAAACTGTCCAAACTCCACGTCTTCTCGTAGTAACGCTATAATTCCGTGCTTAGGGTTACATTTTGGCTTTTCTTTGTCACCAGAATACGCTTTACGACAAATTCCATTTATACAAGCAAATCCTCCTGAGTACAAGCAAATTTCGCTACAATCGTTGTGAACAAAACAAGGAACGTGTGTCTTTTTACAATCGAATATTGGTTTTTGATCAATGGACAATTTAAATACGTTAACTAGACCTTTGCTCTTGTCAAGGAAAATAGTTGATTTGGACGGATTAACTATGTTCAATGACAGCCAATAGAAAAACAAGCACAGGCCCAGCCAAACTAAAATCACTAAGAGCATGTTATTTAGGCCGCTTATGTATCGATTTCTCGTCTTGCTGATTATTTTTGTGTTGCTCTGGAAAATCTTTATATTGTTTGGTGGTATTTTTAGTCGGCACGATGTAGTTGTCGAACAGTATAACAATCAACTGAAGGAACTGTCTCGGCTAATGGGCGTTGGTAAATTGCACAAGTTTGTGGACAACGATGATATAGAGGCGAATAAAACACATTGTACCAACGGACTTTATTTGGGTGATATTACTGATCCCTCTACCAACTGTTCACTAATGTGCGGTAGTGAAGAGTTTCATTTTAAACATATTGGTAAAAATGATCTGCTTTACATACATGATGTGCCCTTGCGAATGGGCGGTTGGTGCTTGCCTACCGATGCTGCCAACTGTAATTATTCTACCACCGTTGCTGTGAAAATATTAGGAAGTTGGTCGTGTCTATCTCGGTACTCAGAATTCGGAGGCCCTGTTGGCAATTTAATACTCGTATGTAATGGGCAAATAACTGATAACCTGTACGACGAACAATACATCACGAACATTCCGTCGACGCTCGTCATGTCCGGTCCAGATGAAAAACTGGAAGACGGCTCTTGGCGTTTTACCTGCACAAGTAATATAGATCCAGTTACGGGTAATATTTATAAAACGGCGCCGTGGTCCCATCTTGAACAGATAAGAAATGTTTGTGTGAAAGGATTACATAATGCTGTAGATATTGACCTGAATTGGGAAACGGGTGAATGTGATTGTAAAAAATATAACTTGCAGTTTGCATACGGCAAATGTATCGTTTGTCTAGAAGGTGAATTTAAACAATTTAGCGACTATCCCTATAGGTACAACGTGCCGCTAGACTGTGATGATTATGAAGAAGAATTCGAGCCTGGAAAAATTTATACTAATATGCCGTGCGCTTCTTCTGCCTACAATTGTGTTAACATGCCCCTAGATTATTCATTTGGTAATCCTATCCAATTATATTGGCAAAGAATAGCAATGAACACAGAGCCAAAGTAAACTTGATCTTTTCCTGGTCTGGAGTAAAAGCAAAAAAAAACAGAGGGATATTGGAACAAACGTTTTATTATGCTAATAATACAAGTCATTAAACTACTAAATGGATACTACCCACTACACTAATTTTTTAATATTATCTAGCACCTTCTCCGTGAACCGGAACCCCTTATCCACAGCATCGATGAACTCCTGCGGTATTGCGGCTAGTTTGGCAATCAGCCGTAATACTGCAGCACTGTTCTCGATCGGAAGACTGTCGTTAAGGAGGAAATAAGTCATGGAGATAGCCGGAAATTTTAGGCTATCCCTTTTAAACAAGTTATCGACGAAGATTGGCAGAAGAATGGGGACAGAATAGGTTCCAGTCTCGTTGAACTCGATCAATTTGACTAGAATCTCCCCCAGATGTTTTTTCTGCCCCAAATCCTCCTCTGTTATGCCGGGATAGCCGATGTCTGTTAGCAGCCGATCCAAACGCTTTGTCTTCTTGCCCTGAATATAGCTGAAGATGATGTCGAATAAATCTTTCAGCAAAGGTTCTACTTCGGGGCGCAAAGACGAAACAGGCTGCATCCGGAAGAGGTTCTTCTTGACTCTCCTCCTGAACTTGTCGAATTCTTGGTTTAAAATAGCGTTTGGATCTGCCCCAGTGGTGTAGTACTGGGACATTGGCGCATCTGCCGTTGTTGGATCTAGCTCAAACGTTTTGTTCAAGCGTCGGCCTATCCCGGTCAACTCCCTAAACGCTTCCTCTTCGTCGTCATACTCGGGCGCGCTTGGATCGGAGGCTGACGGCGCGCCTGGATCGGAGGTTGACTGTTTGACTTTTTTGGTGCTGGACGGCTTGGTGGACGGCTTGCTGGACGACTTGCCAGACGGCTTGGTGGACGGCTGAGCAGACGGCTTGGTGGACGGCTGAGCAGACGGTTCAGCAAGTGGTTCATCAGTCGATTGGCGCTTGCTGTCCCGTCTCTTTTTGGTTGGTGGCTCGCTCACTACCATGGCCTCTGGCAAATATTGGGGTGTAGGAGTAGGTGGCTTCCGACTCAGGAAGCTCTCGAGGTCCTTGATGAAAATAACAATTAGGATCCAAAATACATAGCTAAAAACGCTCAACTACTTACATAATCTATGTCTATATTGAAAGAGTCCATGTCGGCTGGGTTTAGTCGGGAATACAGTTCACTGCAAGAGTGCAATTGCAATTAATATTTTCCGGTACTGATACTGATTATTTTATACGAATTCGATGCATTGTCATCAATCCGCCCCTTCTAGAAAAAACGTGTGAGGATGCGATAATATTCATATATGGGTTTACAATTTGTTACAAAAATAGGAAATCTTATGGTGTGCTGGTTTCCGATTACAGTCAAACGAAAATAATGCAGCGATAGTAAAAATTATTGGGTGTTGGTTTCCGATTGCGGTCAAAGGAAAATAATGCAGCGATAAGAAATATTAATGAGTATTGGTTTCCGATTGCGGTCAAACGAAAATAATGCAGCGATAAGAACTATTATTGGGTGTTGGTTTACGATTACAATTTGATGCAGCGATAGGAAATATTATTTGGTGCTGGTTTACGATTAAAATTTGATGCGGGGTCGGCGATAGGAAATAATGATGCACCGAAAGTTTATCCGAAGGTTTTTCCGATCACTAAAAAATCATCCGCTAGGTATAAATTCCCGTCTTGGAGCTTACTATAAAATGAACCGTTCTACAGATAAACACCAAGTAATGGCGTCTAATAAACTCGCTCAATGTTTCAGTGTCGAGGGTAATATCGGAAGCGGAAAAACGACATTGCTCACTTCCATGCAAAAGACATGGAGCATCAATTGCGAACCGGTTGATATGTGGCAAACGTACGAAGGAATAAATTGGATTGAACAGATGTATAGTGATCCTCACGCCAATTTGATGCAATTCCAGATCATTGTTTTAGCCTCCTTTATGAAACGATGGCAAGATCCGATAAAGAGACCAACATTAATGGAACGCAGCTCTTTAAGCGTTGCCATTTTTAGTAAACACGCTTTGCTAAACGGTTATCTATCCCATTCCCAATATACGGCAATGGTAACATTGACTAAAAATCTGACGATGGTAACTCCAGTCGATGGGATCATTTATCTAAGGACTACGCCCGAAAATTCCTATGCACGTATGCTAGAACGCGCCAGATCGGAAGAATCGCTCATAACGCTAAGTTATTTGAAACAGCTGCACGAATTGCACGACTTGTTTTTAATGGGACGAGATGACGTTTTTGTTTTTGATGGCGACTTGGAGCTTGAACAACAATCTCAGGAAATTTGTCGTTTAGAACAATGGATGGTGTCCAGAACAAGTTCTCTGTAATAAAACTATTCATACATTTATAAGGTACCTATGTTTCTATTGATCCTATCATCAGCATTGTTTGTCGTTCTCTTTTATAGCCTTAACCGATTGTCTACCTTTGATCCAGCTAAATTTGACAGCGACCAAACATTCAAAATTACGGCCGACAAACCCGTTGATCGAAATGATCAGATATTATATTACGGCAAGTTATCGACATAGGCTCAACAAAGCGAAAGCGACTGGCTGTTGAAGATGCGCTATATCTGGCTCAAAAGATATGACAAGGTAACTGATTTTAAAATTGCAAAATTGCTCAAAAGAGCATCCGTCACAGATCCTTGGTTACCGCAATGGACCGATTGGCGAAAAAACGACATTACTAGTTCGATGGGTTCGCTGCTAGCCTCGTTATGCAAAAGTTTTGTTGACGATACTAGTGCCTTTTTTCAAAACAAAGAACTGGGCAAATTATTGAAGAGCGCCGTTACGGCAATTCATGAATACAAAATACGGCCAGAAAATCAAGACAATTGGTACACGACTTGTTATACATATCCATCGATGTTGCTCTCAATGTATACCGACTTGCAGATAGTTTCTTCCATATACGATTCTAAATGGTTATACGAGTTCATTTCCGACATAGAACTGCTCATAAAAACGCCAACAAAGGCAGCCAGACAAGGCAAGTCAAAACGCACTTCGTATGATTCAATTTTACTAGGTACCAATCTTGTGTACGCAAAAAAGATTCTTAATCACGATATTGATTGGAACCACCCAGACTATGATTATTTCAAGAAACAGTTGAACATAGAGTTTGTCAAAGTTGGTGAAGGTCTCTATCCAGATTATTCTTGTGTGTTTCATGAAAAGGTGCGCTACTATGGTTATCTTTACAATAGCTCATATGCCAGTGAAATAATGAACATGTTCATTCCTAACAATTATAGCCAAATATGTAACGAATTGGAAAACATATTGGGTCATCCGGGCATCGACAACAATAACACATCCCTATGGGGGCGAGGTATAATGGTTGGTCGTCAAATAAAGGGTGGTGTTTTGGGGGTTCAAATTCTAAACTTTTCACGGATTATTAATGTCAAAAAATCGCGGTACTTTGCTCAAATTATTGGCCCCGTCCGGTATCTATCCTATTACGAATCAGATGTCGAACCGGGCAACGCACATTCAGCTCATTATTGGTTATTTTATTCGGAACCTATGACCCCGTTTGTGTCACGTCTCTACTCACCGGAAACATGTCGCTATCTTCGCGGTGTTTTACACAACGGTACACAATTTAAATTGGCACATAATACCCCGAACAATACATATAAATGGAATTCGACGGATTACTCTGCCTCTACATGTGCAACTCTAGGGTCGTGTACGGCTATCTCGAAAAGGTACGCCATTACAGAACTTAACGACTATTTCAATAATAACAACTGGCGTGCCGATGATCAATATACAACGAAACAACAGGAGTTAACTCTAAATTTAATCACTTGGTCAGCAGACATAGATACGCATAATTCTTGGAAAAATCTTCACGAGCTTGCCTTGGCTGATGACAATACTTCCGATTTTACAATGTTTAATAACGGCAATGGTATCAAATTAAAGCCCGAATATCAATTTCAATTTTTACTATGGGAACATCACGCGAGAGTTCACACCGGTATCACCGACATTTGTTTCGACGAGGGCATCTATTCGATCTATGTGTCTACCGAACCCTATAAAACGATCCAAGAAAAATTATGGATCACTCTTGAAACCGGTATCCTTATTTATCATAACATTGTACGAATCAACGGTATTGACGTGGCTCGATTCGAGTTTGAAAATAAAGTCCTATATGTTTTGCACGGCCAGTATGCTACAATGAACGTAGTCAACAAATTCAAAGACTCAGACGGTACTGAGAAATTTATCACCGAAACTACAGTTCAGGCCAAACCATACGCTATGCATTTGAAACAGTCCCAAAAACCAGATAGCGTTATTGCGATTTGTATGTGGGTATCGTTAGTGGAAAAAACTTACGACATCTCGTCCGATAACATCCAAATATCAATAGAATTTCAGCAAAAATATGTTCAGGACCTACTAACAATTTCTATACGGAATTATACAATTATCACTCAATCTGCGTTAGTAATTTTAGAGAAAATCGATGGAGACCATTATAACGGCGTCATTATTGACAGTCTCGATGAATATCACGATAACCACTACGTAACTTGTTTGGGTCAAACACGACTGATGGAAAAATACTTCAATGATAAATTTTACCTAGACTTTAGAGAAACGCAGATTCCTTTTAAATGGTCGTTCGACAACTTATACGATAATGAAATCGTTCGTAGCAGGTTAATATGGACCCCGGATCCATTACATACACCGTTACAATTTAAACTTTATCGCGGAACTCGGGCGTGGACAGGAGAAGGTCTTGTAGATGCAATAACCAAAGATGGATGTTTTATGTTAAACGATGATGGTAGCATTGGGAAACCATTCGTTTTTCCGGGTTTCTCTCAAGGCATCGACGATGTTATCGAGTTCAATACATGGCAGGAATGGAGAAACAACATTCATCTTGCATATAATAAATCGTCTAATAATGCATACGAACCAAAGTTAAAGACATTTGCGGGAACTATCAATAGTATGTAAACATGCAAAAATAAAAGTCCTGGTTTCTGCATTTTTATTTTAAAATAAACCCACATATGTAAATTCAGCATCGACTGTATATAAACATGAACTGCTCATTATAGATAGACCAGTCGAATAGTTGAATCGAAGCGATACGCATAAAGTAACAATGTCCTGTCGAGAATTTGGAGATTTTCAACACTACCTATCAAACAAGTTTTATTCGTTGCCAAGTAATGGCCGAGAAATCCTTTTTCAACGACTAGAGCACGCCCTAATTAGTTTTGAAGATGAATATGTGCCGCCAAACGATACACCTTTGTGTCCCGAAGTGGTTCAGCTAAAAACAAACGAGTTTTTCAACGATGAATATGTGCCGCCAAACGATACACCTTTGAGTCCCGAAGCCGTGCAGCTAAAACCTAAAGAGGAATCAAACGATAAATATGTGCCGCCAAACGATACAGGCGAGCGACCCATTTTGGATGTATCGCCCAGGTCTACTATTATTCCGATAATAGACCTTACCACCGACGATGATTGGCAACTTCGTTTGGAAAAAGTGAAAGGGCCCAAGAAGTTGAAGTTGAGGTACCTCCAAGCGTTTGATGTATTGAACCAATTGGTTAAATACCATAAACCGATCATTGAAAGCAGGTCTCACGTTTATTATAAATTTGTTGGCTCCGAACACTCTCTTGATAGAGTTATTCAAAATGGTGGTTTCCAATTTGTCTCGTTACATGAAATACCTTTCCTGTGCGTTTGTGATGAAAGATCAGCCAAAGGTAAACACATGCATGCTTTTATTTTTCGAAGAATAACCGACAAAATTACACCTACAGGCACGTTTACTGATTTTAATGAACCGCCAATTACTTCCTTTTCGCTATGGGTTGACACTGCCCTTTACATGATAGAAAAAGGCCAGAGTCAAAAATATCATTGTAAAACGTTTACTTCTCCTTTGAGTATCAATAATCCTTTACTCAAACGAATGTTGAAAGATTTTCTAATGCTTGGATTGAAATAAATACACATTTGATTGAACTACTTTTGTCTTTTATTTAACAGCAGTACGAATTTTGGGTTGTGATACTTTTTCAGGTTTACAGGAATCTTGTGCTTTATC